TAGTTGTCTCAATAACCACACTAGTAGAACTTGCGAGAATAGTAGTTCCATCATCAGCCACGCTGTTAGCAACAATATAACCTAAAGATATTCATATGTCTACGTTAGCATTGTTAATAAGCCACGAAAAGTTAGTAACTTAGAAAAATCAGTATAAATCGTAAATCTAACCACTTAGGACCAAATGACATTTGTTTTCTTTGAGGAAAAACACACTTCTTTATATATGTAAGTAGCATACATGTTAAAATTAGAACCATTATTATTAGAATTAGTTAATGAAAGCTGGTTAGAAAAGAAGGGCAGAGAAAATGATGATATACCAGCAAACTAACTTACTCAGAATGAAAAATAATGCAAAATTAATTGAAAAATACATTATTAACTTTTCAATTAAAATATCTTTAAGAAGAACAATCACGTTAGTGAAATAAATAGAATAATCTGAAATAGAAGAGTAAAATCAAACAATGGAGTACACAATCGCTTGCAATGTGATCGGAATAGGATTCAAAAGAATATTTTTAAAACAGAAATTCAATGAGAAAAACATACATTCTCAAAGTAAAGAGTTAATTCAATAGGACTATCAATGTCAATTCTCTTCATGTCTGAATGGATGATCATCATAATTAATCCATATTCAAGCAAAAGTAAATTCAATCTAATCAGAATTTTTTTCTTCGATTTCAATTTCTGACATTAAAAAAGAAATAGGACAAGTTCTCGTTAAAAATGATTAGAAAAACTGTGGCTAGACTTTTTCATTCCCCGCAATCCATTTGACTAGTTCAGGAATACTTTTGCTGGTTCTGTGTTTCAGATGAACTTTTAAATATTCTAAATAATGGTACAAATCACTACAGTTAATTTGCTTTTCATTGAGATATTTTAGTAAATCGTTAATTTCATCAATAAATGCTTTAGATGATGAATAAAAGTGAAGTTGAACATTGTAAAATGATGCCACTAAAATTTGTAGTACTATTTTGACATATCGATTTCCATGAAATGCTCCACATCCAAAATGTCCCGTATTCAATGACTTGTCTTGTTGTAACCGAAATGTACACGATATTTTTGCTAATTCACGAGTTAAATTATACTCTTTCAAATCTTCGAGTTCATTCGTTTCACTAAAGTTCATTTCTAGTGCATCAGCAAAAACATAAGAACGTCGGGACCAATCACATGCTGTTGATGAATGAAAACCGATTAATTTCAAATCATTTCCATATCCTTGATATTGGCCAAATGTTTGAATTCCATGTACAACTAGACATTCATTATCTCTCAAATCTCTATTCATAAATAAAACAACAACATTCAACTCTGTTGACATTCCGCAATGTGCTTCTTCTTGCGTACCATATTGTCCATAACCAATGTGTTTATTAGCAAATATTAATTGTAAATTAGTCGATAAAATATCATTTAAATCATCTTGTTGATATAATTGTTTTATTAATGGTTTCTTACATAATTTCCAATCCACATTTCTTTGTAGACGATGCCGTTCAAATAAAATCGAACGTGAATTATCGTTATCTCGAATGAAATCTACATAGTATTGAAAATAATAGATTAATACTGTTAAATATGATTTAGAAGGATTATAACACGAAGATTCATACCAAAGTGAGAAATTCTTATCGTCAATTGTACAAAGAAACATATGAACAAGTAGACAAGCGATTTGTTCACGAGTCAGACTATACAGCTTTATTTCTTCTTCGTCATTATCTGTAAAGTCAAGTGACCGTATAGTATGTGTTGGAAATAACGTAGGCAATTTCAATGCCAAATTAACTAGGTTCGGCCAGTAATATGAACAAAATTGTAAATTTTCATTTAATACTTCGTATAAAACTGTTGTAGATAAACAAGATAAATTTGGACAAAAACAACTGATCAACTCAACAATAGATGCAGGTGTTTGATTCGACTGATGTCTAGTTGTTAAAAGATGAGTAATAAATTTCCATTTTAATACAGAATCTTCTTCATTACCACATAAGCTTAGACGATCTTCAATAATCAATGATGGATGTGATGGAAGGAATAATTCTTCGCAAACTGACATTGGTGTACGTAAATGAGCAAAGAAAACTTAACAAAATGGACAAATGGTGTTAAACACTTAATGGGAAATCCACTCAGAGAGCTGAGTAAATTTAGATGTCCAGTGGAAATTTATCGAAGTGACCTTCACAAAAGACGTTAGACATTTGTTGACATATCAAATTAGCAAATTTGGTTGTCTGAAAGCAATAAGAACAAGAACAAGAAAGAGTTTCTTCACATACTTGACGACAACAATCAAAAAATTACTGTAAGAATCAAAAAATTAGATTAGTGGATTCTACGAAACAAAATATCTAAAAACAAAATCTGTAAAATTCAAAGCCTTTATTGCCTGTGCATAAAAGTGTAATACGATTCTCTCTGTGGTGCAGTGTCTTCGAAGTCTATTATTGACTAAAAATAATGTTAAAAAATTATGACACAGCTGGAGAATGAAAATGAAAAAAAAGGAGGCGTCGGAATGAAAGGAATGGGTAATAAAAAGACATACTATTCGTATAAGTTTTTTGTATAATGTAAGAAAAAAACTTTCTTTGGTCTTATAAAAATTCCATTAGACAGATTATAGATAAAATATGGAACCAATCGCGCAAATGCAGAGCGACGTCTGGCGTTGTAAAATGAAACATTCGATTAACGAAGATTCTCTATTTTTCAAAGAAGCTGAACGTTTTACCAAACGAACGTTCTACCAAATTCATAATACAACACACACTTTGCTGCAGATGATGATGGTTTTACTGGCTGCCACGTAAGTCCATAGACATTCTACCACATTTTCGAATAGCATCTTGACACCGCATCGTTCAAACTTTGCGGAACGTGAAGAACTGAACGAACTATTGACGAATATGAAGTTTGGCAATTTTTAAATATTGGCATAGCATGCACCAAAAAATTTAATGGGTCCGTGTTGGGATTCAACAACAGCAAGGCGTGTAAAAACGTGAAACAGGCATAAGAAAACTTATTCTTTCGGAACTTAGATCATATTTGAAAATGGAACCAGAAACCAGAATGAAAAACTTTTTATGGTCAAAATTTTTGTTTTTTTCCGTAAGAGTTGATAAAACTTTTTGCAAATTAACTTAATTTCTGAAGGTTTCGAAGCCTTGAAGTGATTATATTATGGTCAGCATGTAAACATTAGTATCTTATCAAATTTTTGAGTCATTTTTGAATATTTTATGAAAATTTTCAATATTCGGGAAACATAGCCTAGCATCAAACTGATATTTTTATCTAATTTATTTTTTTACTATAGTAAATATATAAATTAGAAAAGAAAAAAAAGTGCAAAAGCGCAATTTTTTCCGAAAACGTGATTGAGCGTGGTCGATTATCTATAATCCATTCATTTTTGTGGTCATCAAAAGTGTCAGGATACCAGTTTTGAGTTCATAGAAAATTCTATGCAATGCCTAAACGATAAAGATATCGGAAGTTCGCTTAACTCTAACTTTGAAGAAGACACTTTCGGCTATGTACCCATACAAAAAGATCAATAGGTTTGTATTTCACCGTTTTTGAGTTATGATCTGGTTTTCGAGAGTACTCGTAAAATACCTTCTTGAAAAACCAATTTTAAAAATTCTTTTGTTGATGAAAAGATATGTGCAAATTTTCGCTTTCGAGTGGCTAAAGCCATAGTTATCTATTCTTTTGGTATCAAGAGTTATTCAAAAACTGATCAAGAACATGTAGAAAAAGAGTAGACCGCAGTCTACTCTTTTTCGAAACGAACATTTGTAATACTAAACTAACAGGATTATTTCGGACGTATTTAACCGTCTTCCTTGAAATCGCATCGAAAAATGATTTTCATTCAGTAGGATTAATCAAGATTATTTATTATTTCTCTTGCCTTCATGAGAATATAATATTTTCTTTTTAAAGCTATATTGGCACAAATGCAGTAATAGTATGTTAAAAGAAATAGCAGATACGAATGGTACTAATATTTTTTTTTAATGACAAGAAAAAAGATATTATTCGAGACAATGTGTTCTAGGAAAAAATGAAGCTATTTTACGAAATTGTTTGTGAAAGAAGGGCCATGGCAACTTCTCTAATATAGTTAAAGTTGCGTCCTGCGAGCTGGACGAGCACAGAACAAAATAAAATTTTATTGTCTCGAGCTAACAGACCAGTATTAACAGGCAAAAAACGTGGTCTCAATAATGTGATTAATTGGTTTAACTATTTTGAAAACTTTTGTGAGGATCACATCAAGCTTTTACTTCTTGAGGATTACGAAAACAGACACTAATTTTGTCGTGTTTAATCTTCAGAGGATTTTTCAAAACTAGAGACTGGACTCAAAATTTTGCATTTTAGGTTTGAACGAATGAATGATCGTAAAACATCTTTCTCAACCTAATAAACTTAGCACATTTCGTAGACAATAATTTTGGGAATTGCGTAAAAAATAGAAGAAAATATTAAAAAAGTAATGCTACTACAATAGAATAGAAAACCGGCTCCAGACTACGTAATTAACTTCCTGTGGTGGCAACGCTAACTTTTATCGAGAAACGCGTTCTTCAAAAATAATTGTTTTTCAGAAAAACATTAACTTTTCTGAAAAAATTACCATAATTTTGACTGGGTTTTCTTTGACTCAAAACTTAATATTTCATATACATGGTTCGATGCAGCTTTACGCGCTGATTCTGTTATTTAGTTCCTTTATTAAAATTTAAAATAAATTTCATGCTAAAAACCAAGAGTTTTTCAAAACTCTATAAAAAACAGTCCGGAGATAAAGATGCTCAGACTACCAATGTGTTATATATCGAACAATATTTGTGCAAGATTTTTGATCAGATCAAAGATTCGGTTAACTTATCACACGAAGAAGGTAGTTTTGGAAAATTTGGTAGCAAATAACAGAAAAGGAATATTTTTCCGCAAAACTTCAAGATTAAAGTAGAAAATTTTTTATTAATGAATAGACGAATAAGTGAACATCAATTTCTGGGCTCTTTTTCGACGGAAAAAAAAGTCCTTTTTACTAGTATTCTCATGTGTGAAACGGTATGTGGCATGAGATTTTTTCTGATCTAAATGCTCTTATAACAGTCAGTCATCGCAACTCTTTGGCATCATGACCAAAATGCGTCAGTATCCTTGTCAATTTTGCAGCATGCATTTTTTTTCCACGGGTAAAAAATTATCTGTTAGGTTTCCCGGGTGAACTAACGAGGGAACATATGTAAATGTCCCCTCGCTTTTTGAACGAAACCTAGTGGGGTATAGGTTATCGATGATGCTGATTCCGAATATGAATATGAGAGCTGCCCTTATGGCTTCGAAGATCCGATTTTCTGGAAAACCGGTTTTTCAGAAACTCTAAAAAACACCTAAAGCTTTTCTTAATAAACCATGCTTGTACATTTCTGATTAAATTGAGACATCTCCCAACTCTACATGACCTTTCTTTGCAAAGTTATAGAATTTACACGAAGAGCCCTAAATTAATTTCTTCTTATTTCTGTAGCTGCGAGTTGACAATGAATATTTAGGGCTTTTCTTGTAAATTTTATAACTTTGCAAAGAAAGGTCATGTAGAGCTGGAAGATGTCTCAATTTAATTAGAAATGTACAAGCATGGTTTATTAAGAAAAGCTTTGGGTGTCTTCCAGAGTTTCTGAAAAACTGGTTTTCCAGAAAATCGGGTCTTCGAAGCCATAAGGGCAGCTCTCATACTTATATTCGGAATCAGCATTATCGATAACCTATAATCCACTAGGTTTCGTTCAAAAAGCGAGGGGACACTTACATATGTTCCCCCGTAAGATCTGTCTCATCTAACGTTTATTTACAAAATGAAAAAGATATCCTTTTAACAATAAATTGATCTATTTATATAAGAAATATTGCGCGATCATCTTGAGTAGACTCTGCGCAATAATCTTGACTAGAGGCTACGCAATAACCTTGGCTAGGCTCTGCGCAATAACCTTGAATATATTCTTGCACCATAGCATTGAGTATTCTTGCACAATAACCTTGACCATATTCTTGCACCATAACCTTGAACATATTCTTGCGCAATTACTTAGACTATATGCTTGCGCAATAACCTTAACCATGATCTTCTCCATTATGACACGACGGCAGTGCGTGGCATAACAGTATCCAGCTCTCTAGATATTTAGATACGTGCGGTTTATGCAGGTTCATATTTTACCGGCTGGGTAGATGCCTACACAGAAAACCGATTGAGGATGAAAAGACGCCTCAAACCCTTTCGGTCGACCTTTGCAATCGTACGCTGGGTTAAGCCCATGTGGCATTATCTGAGTTGCTGAAGTCTGTATGTTGGGGTATTCCGAGCTTTCTGACATCTTGCGATGACTCTTCACAACGTATTGCACGTGCTCTGTAAGGGATTGATATTTTGGTAGTGATAACTGGTTGGGAGCGTTAGTAAAACTGAAAAATCGAAGTAACAACGGACACCTAGACTCACTGCGCTCGTCTCGATGTTAATCGTAATGTTAGTATGCAGGTTTTGGGGATTTATCGGATGGTTGTTATTGACCGATTATTTACTTATGATCCTTACTCTTGGACAACGAACAAATGATGAACATGCAATCGCACATTGCGGTCGAGGACTGCGCACCTCTGTATAATATCAAGAAACGTTTCATATAGCTTAGAGCCTCATCATAGTACAGTAGTGTACCGCTATCCAGCACAATCTCAAAGTAAATTGTTTAATCGATCAGTTTACCAGCCGGACTGGATCGGTGTACCAGTTTTCAACCGGTTTCAGCTCTGTCGTATACTCACCCTCACGCTCGTCGTTTCCTTCCTCCCCCTTCGGAAAGAGGAGGGCAAAATGGACGAAAATGAAAGAATGGCACTCGGTATTTTACCTTCTCTGAAGGCAAAGCAAAACAAAAAGTTCTTGCACTATAGATAAAAAGGAAACTAAAGAGCTGATTAACCCAATAAAAGAAGAAGAATATCGATATCTATCTTACTCTTTGAGTATGCAGCCCATCTTTGAAGACCCTTTTTTAAAAACAGTCAACTTTTAGGCCACAGCACAAAAACTATACGGTATAATTCTTTTGTTCTTTCCCATTTGTAGTACTCGTCGAGCTCTACAAAATGGCATCAAAGACATTTTTAACCCGCTTCGTTTTCATCCTCTTTTCACGATCACAAAAGTCAAACATATCGATTACTACTTTCAGTACTTTAGCGGGAGTTTTACTTTGATTTTGATTTCTGTTGAGCGAGAAGAGGTTCTAATGCTATATTTAACTTATCGTTAACTTGAATGAGTCAAAAGTGCTTAAAAAATAATTATAGGGAACATTTTTCACAAAGCGCTTATGCTAATTGAACTCGACCAATAGAATTCGTCGAAAAAATTCGCTACGAAAAATGTTCTCTAGTACTAGGACAAGCTTTTAATATTAGTATTTGTACTACTCGAAGTGCTATTTCGTGTGGTATGTCCAGCGGTGGTGTAAGCTCTGTAGAGACACAGAAAAACAAGATCAAAGTTGCTTTATTAGAGGAAAGGACGAAACTTGACATCTCTGAAAAGGCATGTAGAATATGACTTTTTTTAGTGAACACACATGGGATTCCATGTAACTTTTTATGCTCTACACGCGAAAAGTGTTGAAATTTTTTCGGCTATTATGTCATGTAATGGTGGGCGGACCTAAATGGAAGCACCCCCAGGCCTTGCTTCTGAGTAAATCAGAAATGGTATTTCGTTACTCACTCGTTTGCTTCCCGCCTTCCCTGCCCGCTCCCTGTGAATATCCAAATATCTAGACATCTAACAAGCCAATAAAATATGAATTTGCAAAATGCAAATATTTTAGTATCAAATACTAAGGTTTTGTATTTTGCATTTAAAAAGGTAAAAACACAGCTTTTATTTTCAAAATACCAAATACGATTTTTTGAGATGCAAATTCATCTCTTTTTGGATTCTGAAATGCAAAATCAGTTTTTTTTTCATTTCAGAATGCAAAATGCCAAAAACAGTCGAAATTGCAGGTTGCAGTTTTCTAAAAGAAAAATGTCACAAGTACATCTTAGTCATTACGTGAACTCTTTTTTTGAAAAGAAACACCTAATAGCTATACTAAAGAGCGATCCAAAAGTTTAGTTACCATATAGGTAACGTCGTTACCTATATGAATACATATATAGTTAGTTGGTTACAACATATCGTGTAGACAAACATTAAAGCTATCATCTAAAAAAAAAGTTTTTGAATTGTGTACATGTGGTGCAAAGTTATGGTCATTTTATTAATTTTGAAAAAATATTTTCACTTTACATTTTTAAAAAAACAAAAATGTTCGTGTGTAAAAGTTGCAAAGAAGTTCATAAATTTGTATTCAGTTGTAAGCAAAACGTATGTTCTTATGCTTCGACGCGTTGTCTTTCTTTTCGTGTATCATACATTCGCTTTGAAAATGTTTTTCTGGCACAGAAGGCGATTTCATCATAATTCATCGAAAAAAACGAAAAATTTGACTTTTTCGCGTTAGCACAAAAAAAAAATAAAACTATTGGACTTTCTGTGCCAGGGAGTAACAGGAGAGCAAGTTTGCTTTAACTCTTTACGGTCGGGTGTTGACTACCAGTAACATCTATCTATTAAGTGTGGAAGGAATTTCGTTCTAAAAGAATACACTTTGTCAATCCCTGTCACAGCAAAACAATAAATATAAAGGGAGGAATATTTTTATTAGTTAATTTTTGGCAGCCGACAGAAAAGGAGTATGCACAGAAGGGGATATTGTTACTAAATGGCTTATGCAGCCGGCTGTAAAGGGTTAAAATAAACCAAATCCGACCTCAAAATGTTGTATTTTGGCTGATTTATAAAGAATTTCTTAAGTACTCCAAAACTGCAGTTTGAAAATGATCATTTTTAGTGATACTGGAAAAAGAAAAAGTTCCCCGTCAACTGCTTATGACTTTCGTAAAATAAAAAGCAACGAAACTGAAAAAACTGACTTTTTGGTTGAGAAGTGATCAAGATTACTGTACTTCATCTATATACTTTTATTTTTAATAAGAATATACGTTTTGCTTACAACTGAATACAAATTTATGAACTTCTTTGCAACTTTTACACACGAACATTTTTGTTTTTTTAAAAATGTAAAGTGAAAATATTTTTTCAAAATTAATAAAATGACCATAACTTTGCACCACATGTACACAATTCAAAACTTTTTTTTTTAGATGATAGCTCTAATGTTTATCTATACAATGATATATTATAACCAACTAACTATATATGTATCCATATAGGTAACGTCCATTTACAGAGAGAGGTCGAAACTTTTGGGTCACCCTTTAGTCTGGATATTTGTAGCACATTCGACTAGAACTGAGTCTCTTTTTCTTTGTTCTGGCTTTTACGCCGGCATACTGTGGAATGAATGATGTGAGATGTTGAGAGATTGCACTTCTTGATACTTCTAGTATGTTATATATGAAAATACTGTTAAAGACATGTTGCAGTGTGAAGAACAAATTTGGTTTATTTATTTGAGATGGTAGATCGGTTTGAATTTACTTGTGATTATATGCACTCTCCTCATTGATTTTTTTCTGATCATACACATTACCAGTTGGAAAAAGTTTCAAATTATTATGTATACATTACACCGTTTCACTCATAGATGAGAGAAACACATAAATATAGTGACTAACATGCCGCAAGACGGACTAAACGAGCTATGTTGTTTCGTCCCATACATGGCTAAATGTATCAATGATTTATTTTGCTTAACTAGATTATTTTAATGATAAGTCACGCACTAGCGATCACAATTTTGAGAGCTAAATCAAATATTTTCCTTTCTTGTGCTTTTTTTCTCATTACAGAAAAAAGAGAAGGCCAAAGGACATGTCGTTTTACCAAAAAGTGACAATTAAACCGCAAGGTACGACACTTGTTTTCTGCTTGCTGTTCTTAAATCAAAAATCGAATAGGCTTCAGGTAAATAACACGTAAATATATCGTTAGATAGTTTAAACATTACAAGCCCGTGCTTCATGTTTTTATGTCTATCAAATGCTTTATATTCTACAACTTAGCCTTCACATTTAAACAAGTACTAATTCTCTCAACATACCTTCTTTTGGACAGTAAACTTTTCTTCGCGTAAGCGATCAACATCAACAAGACTGGTATTGCTAACTAAATAAGTAGACTGATTTGAAGATACTAAATTCTGTTGTAGAAATAATGCAGAAAGCGAACTTTTCATCCATGTGGTATCATTTCCTTCTCCATGTGGTATTCATTTCCTAAAGGGACCCAGAGTTTTGCATCGCTGTCTTATATAGTGTGAATATTTTCGTCTGATTCTAGTTTGAACCGTTGAAATGGCATCCAAAAGATCAACATCTAATTCTTCAGACGAAGCCACATCGTCAAGACATCGTTCTCATTTACAAAGTGAAACGTCAAGACATTCAACACGACACAGCGAACATTCTCATTCAGCATCTCATCGACGTTCACCATCGCAAACAAACACTGTCACAAGTAATTTAGAAAACACCAGTATTCGAAGTGCAAGCCCAACTCATGCCTCATCACAAGCGCGTACTCTCTCACCAACGGCTAGTCATGTTTCAAAAACTACTATTCAATCCCACACCTCCGGACAGCAAAGTACACCTTATGACACCACCAGCCTCGCTCAAACTAGAACCGCTAGTCCTTCGATCGCTCGACAATCAACATCGAGTATCTTGTCACAAACCCATCAACAACAACAAACTGGACAATTTCCACAAAATCTCACTGGTGATGTTCCACCAATTATACGACCGACAAATCAAGGATTTGGCAGTGGTGTTAATTCTTTTGGTCCAAATGCTCCACAAATGCATCAACAAGCTCAAATTAGACCACAAGAATATGGCATACAACACCAAGGACAAATAGTGAGACCCGGTGTGCCGCGTGCCAATGTTCCTCTACCAATACAACAACACGCACAAATTAGACCAAATGTTCCCTTATCGCCTGGTTCAAATACTGTCACGCAACAAAACGGTTACAACGCCTCTGTACAACACCAACAACCAGGCTATGGTCCACGACCCCAAGTAGTTTCTCAAGGTATCCGTGGTAATTTCTCTCAAGGTACTCAAGGACCGTTAAGACCTCCCATACCCGGTCCTAATTTACAACGCGGTCCGAACGTTCAGTTATCTCAACAAGGCCAACAAAGTGGATCTGGTCAACAAGGGGGATTTGGCCTACAAAGTGGGTCTGGTCAACAAGGGGGATTTGGCCAGCAAGGTGGATCTAGTCAACAAGGCGGATTTGGCCTACAAAGTGGGTCTGGTCAACAAGGGGGATTTGGCCAGCAAGGTGGATCTGGTCGACAAGGTGGATTTAGTCAACAAAGTGGGTCTGGTCAACAAGGCGGATTTGGCCAGCAAGGTGGATCTGGTCGACAAGGTGGATTTAGTCAACAAAGTGGGTCTGGTCAACAAGGCGGATTTGGCCAGCAAGGTGGATCTGGTCTTTTCTAAATTACTTGTGACAGTGTTT